GGACGCCGGGAGCCTGCAGACGCTCCGCAGAGCGTGGGAGCAGTGTCCGCTCCCACCCTTCCCGGGATCCCCGACCCACCGCCATGGGCCAGGGTGGGCTCCCAGCCCGTGTGGTGCTGGCCTGTTGCCTGCTGCTGCTGGGGGGCTCGGGGGGCCTGGGGAGCCACGGGACGCCACGGGGACCCTGGGAAGAGGAGCAGGGCTCCGTGGTGGAGGGAAAACCATGGGGCAGGGCGAGGTATGAAGCCGTGAAGAAGCACTTGGGAGCTGTGGGTGCTCTCTCCAAGCAGTATTGGCAGTACCTGGCATGCAAGGTGTGGCAAGAGGGCTGCAAAGAAGAGGAGGAGGAGGAGGAAGAGTCCAGCCCTGGCCCAGGTAAGCACCTTCCTCCTTTCTCTCCCTCTCTGGTACCCCAGGAACAGCAGTGGGTCCAAACACCCCACTGCCCCTAGCACAGGGGTCCCCTTCCCCAGGGTTGCTGCCCTGGGCACCTCCCTCCTTGCTCGGGGTAGCCTGGGTGGCCACAGGTGTCTCTGTGCCCACCTGAGCCAGCTGCTGCCTGTTACTCCCCCTCCCCACAGCCCCAGCTGCGTGGTGGGGCAGTGTCTGATCTCCTGCACCTGGGAGGAGGGCCACCGTTAACTGGGCTCAGCTGAGCATCCACCCACAATCCAAAAAAGACACTTGCTGCCACATCTCTGCTCAGACCGCTGCCTTTTCCAGGCTGGAGCTTGCCTCTGGTGGGCCAGGATTACCTGGATATCCTCTCTGCCTGGTACTGCAGCTTCGGCAAGTGCTGCAAGACAGGAGACTGCAGGATAGTCAACAATATCACAGGTAGGTGCTGTGCCGTGCTTGGGGGGGCCCCCAGCAGTGCTCGTCTCTGCTGCCCCTCCCTATTGTCTCTTTTTTTGTTCGTTTGTGAGCTCTTTTCTTTTTAAAAAAGCGTATCTTAGCGCGTGATGTCAGTAAAGTGCATTGCTGAGCAGGGTGCTGAGCTGGTGGGAGGGTGAGGAGCTGAGTGAGGAGCTGAGCTAAGTCCTGTGTCCTGTTATCCCTTTGTAGTTCTGAGGCTGCAAGTGAGTTTGCTCCTACTGTACAGCATATCTGCTCCGGTTTGCCACGAGCCCTGCCTTCATCCCGTAGCTCCCTGGCATATGAAGTGGGACCCAAACTGGCCCAGTGTCCAGCCCCAGGCCAGGAGGGTACACCGAGACTGGCATGTAAACCCTGCACAGGTGTCGTTGCATTGTGCTAGTCCTGAATTCTGGTATCCATACCCTCTGCTGGGAGCTCAGGAGGGCCTTGGGGCTTCAACGCTCTCTGCAGTCATCCAGTACCTCCTCCACTTCCCAAAGGAAAACAGGAGTCAGTGGAAAAATCTGTGTGTTTTTGCAGGCAGCGTACAGGCAGCCCACCTCGTTAACCCTCTGGCTTTAATGCCACTTGAGGCTCCTCTGAAGCAGCCCACAGAGCAGGGCTGTGTGGGCTTAGTGCCTGTCACCTTATCTCCTCTTGTTCCCACCTGCAGCAGTAGCAGCAGCTGGCCTTGCAAGCTAAAGCTGCGCTCTCGCTCTCTCTTTCCTGCAGGACTGGAAGCAGACCTCAATGGGCAGCTCCACGGGCAGCACTTGGCCAAAGAAGTTGTCGTCCGGGCAGTGCAAGAGTTCCTGCAGAGCCCGCGGCCAGAGAAGGCTCTGGTCCTCTCCTTCCATGGCTGGTCCGGCACGGGCAAGAACTTTGTGGCCCGTCTGCTGGCCAGTCACCTGTACCGGGACGGGCTGAAGAGCACGTGCGTCAGGGTGTTCATCTCGCTCTTCCACTTCCCCCATCACCAGTACGTGGAGTCCTACAAGGTGAGAGCCAACAACATGGTGTTGCTGTGGGGATAGCCCAGCGTACTGTAGGGTCTGGCTGGGATGGAGTTCTTTTTCTTTTCCGGGTGCCGTGTTTTGGATTTGTGAGCAGAACAGTGTTGATAACACACCGGTGTTTGGGCTGCTGCGGAGCGGTGCTTGCACAGCCTCAAGGCATTGTGTTTCTCCCACGCTGCCCCGTAGTCAGTGGGTTGGGGGTGCGCGAGAACTTCGGGGGGGACACCCACCGGACAGCTGACCCCAACTGACCAAAGGGATGTTCCGTGCCATTCGATGTGCTCAGCCGTCAGACCTGAGGGGAGGGGGTTTTAGGGTGGGAGGCCATTGCTCAGAGACTGGCTGGGCATCAGTGGTAGGTGTGAGGGATTGCCTTCGCATCGCTTACTTCGGTTGCTTTCTTCCTTCTTCCTCTTTCCTTCACTTATTAAACTGTCTTTATGGCAACCCGCACGTTTCCTTGCTTTGGCTCTTCCTCTTCTTTGCCCTGTCCCGCTGGGTGGGAGGGAATGAGCAGGTGGCTGTGTGGTGCCCAGCTGCCAGCCAAGGTTAACCCACCGTGTCCAGGCTCACCCCTGCACGCCCTGGTGGTGGTGGTGACTGCTGCTGGGCTCCTCACGCCCCTCCCTGCTGCTCTGCAGGCTCAGCTGGAGAAGCAGATAAGTGAGACCGTGCAGCTCTGCAAGCAGTCCCTGTTCATCTTTGACGAGGCAGAGAAGCTTCCTTTCAGCCTCCTGGATGCCATCAAACCTTTCATGGCTCGCAACGACAACAGAGGCGAGGTGGATTACCGGAGATCCATCTTCCTTTTCCTCAGGTGATTCCCGGGCCCCTGATGGGATGGGGAGGAACAAGGTGATGGAATTTATTCCCTGGGGTGTGCGATGTGAGGGGCTCAGGCTGCAGAGGAGGGGAAAGAGGTGTAGCGGTTGCCTCCATGGTCAGTTCTGCTTATTGATGCTGGGCATCCTCCCTGGGCACGGGGTGTTTGCAGGAGGAGCTGAGGTTCAGCTTAACTGGGACACCTGAGCCATATCTAGGCTTGGAGACAAGGAACCAGTGCGAGTCAGAGCTGTCGTGATGACACCCTGCACCCTGGACAGCTGAGCAGGGGGATCCCACACTCCAGGGAGCAAAGCTGGGGCTGCAGGTACACTGTGGCACCGTTAGTTGGGAGTGTGCCACCAAGCAGAGGGGAGCAGGGTGCCTTGAACTGCAGCAGCATGTAATCTTGGGGGGGTTTCGTCATACCTGGTGGCAGGGTGACACAGACCTGTTGTAGGAGGGCTGGCTCTGCCCCAGGGCTCCTTTGGACACCGGCCTCGTCCTGCACCTTCGGCCAACTTTGGGTGGTGAGGCTGGGGTGGGGCTGGCTGTCCTCAGTCAAAAGGGGCTGTTTCTCCTGTGGGCTGGGTGGTAGCAGGATCAGCACAAGCTGTTTCCTCCCTGTGTGGCAGTGGGGAGTGGGGAAACAGTGGTGGCTTTTTAATTTTGCCTCCCCTCTATTTGGGAAATGGGTCCAGAGCCTCTGACACAAGAGGAAAGGTGGGTGCAAAGATCTGTCTCCCCCAGTGCTTCTCTGCCTCCTACCTACGCAAGCCCTGCAGCCGCTGGTTCCCAGCATCAACGGATCACTGGTGGAGGGGCACAGGGGGCACTTGGGGCTGGGGGCTCTTGTCTGAGGCTGTTGCAAACCCCACACCAGCACGCAGGGGCTGCCTGGCCCTGGTAATCTCAAGGACTGTCAGGACCTCGTGTCCCCTGCCACGGAGGTGCCCCCACGGTGGGTGTCCAGAGGAGTCCTCACGTGGGAACTGCGACGCTTTGTCCCTGGGGCAGAGCATCCTTCGCCAAGTCCTGGGCTGCTGGTTGCATCCCTGCCCTGGATCTTTACTTCTAGTGGGACTCCTGTCATCTGCTTCACCCTCCACCTTGGACTTTCAGTGGTGGCTTGTTGAGAGTTTGGTGTAGGGCCAAGTGTCACCTGCAAGGTCGATGGCATCTCAGCCAGGACAGGGGACTGATGGAGATGGAGGATTCTGCTGGCTCCTGGTCCCATCCTGGGAGAGAAAGCAGCTGCCCCAGGATCTGAACTGGCAAGATGGAAGACAGCTGTATAGATGCCTATGGAAAGGGGTTCTTTGGGAAGAAAGCTGGTTCTTCTGCGTGCAAGTATTTCAGATGCTGATCCTACACAGCAAACCCTTCGTTGCTACCAGAATTACTGAGGCCTGTCTGTAGGGGAGGCTGCTGGCAGCTCTCAGCAGCTCATCCCTGGGGCCACGGTTGAGTGACTTCCCTTCTGTGTCCGCAGCAATCTTGGCGGCAACATCATCAATGAGGTCGCCCTGGACTTCTGGCGAGCCGGCCGGGCGCGGGAGGAGATCTCCAGGGAGTTCCTGGAGCAGCAGCTGCGGCTGGAGCTGCTGAAGCCTGCAGGTAAGAGCTGGGCTCGTTTGTGGGACGCCGTGGGCAGGACACCGTGGGCAGGACACCATGGGCAGGCTGCCCGCAATCCTGCCGCTCCGCGCCAGCTCAGGGCCTTGTTCCGCAGTACCGTGCGCCTTGTGCCGCACAAGCGTGCGCTGCGGAACGAGCATTTATTGCAGCCCTCGCTGCGGGGTTATTTGCAACAGCCTCACACCGTAGGGAAGTATCAAGGCTTCCCTGGGGATTCAGGCTCCTCTTGGCTTGAGATGGCCAAGCCATGGTGATGTTCTGTGTCAGAGTAAGCACTGGCCAGCTCTGTACAAGGGGAAGGGTGTCTCTCCCACCCACGTATGGCTGGATGAGCCAAGACAGCCCTCCCAGGAGGCACAAGCCTTGCCTCACAGAGGGACGCCAGCTCTTAGATGAAGCTTCTGAAGTTTGTTTTGTCTTGCTTTTTGCTACAGAGCACGGCTATGCCTGCAACCACCTTCTCAAAGAGAACCTCATTGATTTCTTCGTGCCATTCCTGCCCCTGGAGTACCACCACGTGAAGCTCTGCGCACGGGATGCTTTCCTGGCCCAGGGACTTCCGTACACAGAGGCAGCCCTAGACGAGGTGGCCAGGATGATGGTGTTTGTCCCCAAGGAGGAGAAGCTTTTCTCTGCACAGGGCTGTAAATCTGTATCCCAGCGCATCAGTTACTTCCTTCCTTGAACACCAGGTGGGACTACACCAGCGTGGAAGGTGGTTCTGCACACTAGGACCTGCTCTCCTTGCACAAGGTCAGGCAAGCATTTGCACAGGGACAGAGACTTAACCCCTTGTTGCTCTGAGGGCTGTTTGCAGGGAAGGAGGTGCGCCCTGCCCAGCCTTACTCATGGGACATGGGGACAGCCTGCGCTTGGCTGCGTTTGAAGTCTGTCCGGTGTTTTAAAGTCCCTTCTCGTAGCAGGCAGTAGCCTGAAGCGGTGATTTGGTTGCGCTGACAGATGCTTTGTTTCACCTGAGCAGGGATGTCCAAGTCCTTGGTTTGTTACCATGTAATGAAGGCCTTGGACAGACTGGTCCCATTGAGGCAGTGCAGCAGAAGCCACGTCCTCATCCCTGTCCCCCCTTTTCCCTGTCACTTTACAGGATTGCACAGAACTGTTTAGCAGGAGTTAAGGTTTTTCTCTTGCTCTCCTGCATTCAGAAGGTGTCTGCTGCTCAGGGACACGTGTGGCAGGATCACGGTTTGTGCAGGGAGGCCCTCGCGTAGAGAAAATGACTGAATCATCTCCTTTGGAGATGTCAAATCTGTGGCCTCTCGCTTGGGAGTGTCCCTCTCTTGTTGGAATCTTTCGTTGTATGGAAGCAGCTGTGAGGATGAGGTAAATTCTGCTGAAATTATTTTTCCAAGTGGTTTGGTGAAGAGCCCGTTTGCTTTACTGCAGAATGAAAAAGGGGAGACTAATCCCCTTTTCAAGGGCAAAGGGCAGTTGAGGAGGATGGTGGCTGCCGGAACAGGCTGCAACTGAATTTGGGTTTTCAGGGATGCAGTAAGCTTGGGGGGTTTTGTCCGTTTTTCTATTTTTTCAGCATGTTACGTGCCATAGTTTTTTGGCTGGTGTCAGCATTACTACAGCAAGGGGCTGTTTGCTGTCTGGGTACTTGCCAGATGATAAATATGTTACAGCAGGACCAAAAAATTTCAACAGCGTTACGGGAATCACTTTGTGACCTCGAGGTCAAAACTCCCTTCCAACACCGCTGGGCTGGGGCGATGTGGTGAAGCAGAACCTGCCAAGGACAGGGCTTTCCGCCCCGGACACCCCGTGTGCGGACGGACCTTTGAGCTGGTTCAAGCTTCGAACCTCTCTGCGGTGCCAGTGATGAGCAGCACGACCTCAGGGAAAAGACTGACCAGGCACACTCAGTACTCCTGCTGACTTTGAGTCCGCATTTCCCTCCGGGAACGCTGGCTCCGTTATCTAACGAGGCTTCATAGTCCAAGGCAGGAAGACGAGCCAGCTGCTTTCTTCCTGCTCAACTGATGCAAAGGTAGTTCAGACTTACCCGTTGTCTCTAGATGGGACCTTAGGGCCTGTGCCAGCGTGCGCTGTTATCAGTGCTTGGTTTGTGGTTAATCTCTTTGTTCATGACAAGTGTCAACCTAAAGCATCAGCCTGGGAAAGAGCAGAGGGAGCTGTGCCCAGGAAGTCACTGGGCAGGGGAGGATGCAGCCCCACAGAAGGACACGACTTGGGTTGTGGTTTATAACCCGGGCAGAAGTTAGGAAGTTGTTACTCAGGTAGTTGAAGGTTAGTTAACTGCTCAGAAGGTTGTATGAGCCGAGATCACCTACGGTATTTTTAAAATAGAAAAGAATCTTTGGCTGTCCAGGTGGGACAGATGCCGTTTGGAGCGGAAGGGAGTCGCTCCGTTTCGTGAGTGCGGGGCTGGCCTGGAGTCGGCACGTTGAGCAGTTCTTGCTCCGTTACTGATTACGGAGGCGGCGGTGTCACTGATGATGCAACACCCCGCGCTCCGCCAG